ATGTTGGAATCAAACGTGCTAATCTTTTAGATTGCAATGCCTCGATGGAGTAATGGACTTGGTTATAAACAAGGATAATAGCTGTTACCAAAAGCATGCAACATGCGCAGATCCTTAAGTAAATATAGCTTGGTAAAAGGGAAAACGGTTTAGACCTACAGATATCGATGTAAAAATCTCAGAGTGTAAACCTACTGTTAAAGTCACTGGCGTAAAGACGAAAATTATAGAGGATGACCCGACCATGGTGACTATGCTTGATGCCCGTTCTGTAATGTTTGCATTCAGAAAGCATGGATACTCATTCTTTTTCGTTTAAAATACACGGCTTAAGATGAAGAAGGTCTCTCGCGTGTCCATTGATTGGATGAACGGTGAAGGAACGAGTCTATGCTAACCACGATTCTACGTTGAGGCAGTCAAAGATAACGGTGGGTTGGGGGGGGGGTATTAGAACCTTGACATGAATTACAAAAGTGAAAAAAAAATAATTAAGTTTTCTGAACCTCTTACTGATTTCAACTGGAGATGTGTAGAGTCTTGTTGCGATGTCAGTGTCAGCTTTGCTTTAATGCACTGAAAGATTATTTGATTTGTCCACGATGAATTTCCATTACTAGGTCTTCTTTACGATGTAACCTGTCATGCGCCGAGACTTTCGTGAATCAGTGTAAAAACGAGCGTACTGACCTTTCAGTTCATGGAGGTAAATTCACTAATATGTCTTTCACTTGTTGTTTTTTTCTTTTTTAAACTCTTAATAATTTCCTTTCCTACATTAAGAGTTCAGTTTCACAGGATGTTAGAACACCAGCTGATGCAATTATTATTTCATTTTCTGGAGTAAGTCCGTCCGATTATTTAAAATGAGTTCGAATTTTTTTCTTTAAAACTGTTTGTTTTACCCTGCAGTTAATAAAATCGTGGACTTAAATACCGCATACAGTTATAAACATCCTAATGCTATAAATATATAGTGCCTGCATAAAGTTTGTAGTTGAGGATTTGTTTGCGTAAACAAACAGAAAATCAGTGTGGACACCAATCATGGTGTATTTTATTTCATACTTTCACTACGGGTATTACTTCAGGACTTCGTAGGCCTACGTACATCAGAAAATGGATAACTCTAAGCGGAGCACATTCCTCATTAAGTTACATTGAAGAAAAGCAACGTTTCCTGAGTTATAATTATTATCAATAATCTATCATTTCAGTCAATTGGAGGGTTTTCATTTTTGTTATTATCAAACATCAACATGTGGGTGCGAAATGGTGCAAAGAAATACTTATTACGGGTTTTCCCAAAGATGAAAAAAAAAAGACACACAAGGAATGGGTGAACTTGCTTAAGATTGCATTTCAAAAGCAGGTCATATTTTGTTTCCTCCAAATGGTTGAAGTAAAATTACGATTAGTCGACCCTGATGGGAACTTTGAGCTTCTATTTCAAAATGGTGGATTCAGACCGAACCAACGGCAGCTTTTATTGTAACTGAGAACAGAAGTTCGAAATTTACATTTTAATAGAAACATTAAAAATAATTTACATGGGCGTGATACATAAAACAACCAAACGTTATGCAGGGGCGTCATTTCAGTTTTATTAAAGGGGTGGGGGGGGGGGCAAAACTTGGTCGGCTTGTTATGTTGTTTATTACTGAAAATTACTGGCGGCGTCACAGTACATGTTACATGTGTGTCTATTGCCTCAAGCCTTCAAACCCCTAGTGCATAATTTCCTCATCACCACCAGTAACAGAAACATGGCAAATCCCATCTACATGCATAGGAGCCAAAATGATCAATAAATTGATCGTGGGGCCCTTAAGATATAGAAAAAGAAGAAGACATGGCAATTTAAATAAAATCTGCAAATTCACAGGACCAAAATGACTTCCCCGAGTATATTGTAGGCCCTATGCTAAAATCCATGTCAGATTTTTATTTTTTTTATTTTTTATAAACAGACAAGTTTTTATACTTCATTATTTTTTTTTTAAATAACACAAAAATAAAAATTTAAATTATAACACCAAAACACAAAGTCCAGGAAGTTTGTTCCGTGAATTTATTTTAAGATCAACAGGTTTTTTTTATTTAGTTTCAATCTTCCGTTTATAAATGATCAACTTTTAATTAAGTAAAGGTTAGTTCCCTTGCAGACCACGCAGTTGGGTGAAGTTCCGGCAGATATTCATCAAGAAAAAAACCTTTGCAGAGCCAGACTGTTAAAACTGTTGTAACATACTGTTAATGTCCGAAACATCCGAGTTTAAAAGTCAATGCACTTAACACAATTTTGTGATGTTTTTATCAGATATTCAACAATAAAAAAAACAAAAAAACTCTACAAAGGCAGACTGCTCACTGTATTGTAACATTATTTTAAATGGGGGGGGGGGGGGGGGGGGGGGGGTGTTGTTCTACTAAACTTCACCTCCATATCAGGCAGTGCAATTAACACCAGGTGCCTGTGCATATTTGAAAACAGTAACAAAAGGAGTGCAACAACATAGTCTAATGTTAATTTCTTTAAAGTGTCTTTAATGTCTATCCTGATAGCAAGCGTTGTGTTTGTTGACATAGTTTGTGGATCAGTTTTGTTTTTGACATAGTTTGTTGACAAATTTCATGACACATGGTGTACAGAGTAGGCCTACATTACAGAAGGATTGGCTGTCTGTGTTAACTAAATGTAATCTTAAATGCAGTTTTCCCACATATTTCTTGAGGCAGTTCTTTGAAAAATAGCTTTTTTCCATCGCTTCCTCTATTACAGTACAGTTTCAAGGCTGTTTTTCATAACCATCGCCCCATTATAGTCAAGTTGGAAGGCTGTTTTGACAGCAGCTCTCTTACAGTTCAGTTGTCAGGCTGTCTTTATAACTGTGTAACTCTATAACAGTCATAACTGTAGCCCCATTCAAGTTGGCTGGCTCTGGCTGTTTTGACAGTAGCTCTCTTATAGTTCAGTTGGCAGGCTGTCTTTATCACTGTAGCTCTATAACAGTCAAGTTTAAAAGCTGTTTCTATTGCTGCAGCAACTACTCATTTGAACCTCTGCTCACATCTCTATTTCAAAGCCAGTTTAATATTTATTCAAGACGTAACATCATTATAAATATGGATTATTTACAGGGTTATTCAACATGAAGAATTAGATTGTCCTTTTCTTTTTATTGGATCGAGGATGGGAGCCACTGAATTTAATGAAATATAGGGGGGTGGGGGTGGTGATTATTACTAAAGAGTTTGAAAAACTGTTGAATTCATTGAGTTAAAATAATCAAGGACATTGCATTATTTAAAGTTTAAAAATGCCTGGCTCAAAGTTATTTACTGAAAGGCTCAAAATCAAAATGAGGACAAATCATATATTTTACTAAGCAAATGAAATATAATCAAACTGACATTATTCTTCAGACCTGCATGGCCACAAAATAAAATAGCAATAGAAATCTATCAAAATTCAAGACACAAATTTTAAAAAAAAAATGAAAGGATAGCTTAATATTGATTTTGTTTCAGTATTAAGTTACAGGAGAATCCTACGGCTCCGAATGCATACTCAAGATGTTTCAAATTGCACATTATAAAAGTCAACTCAAAGTATTTACACATAAAAGCGTTCTGTGTTACGTGTTCAAAACTCTTCATTTGGACAACTCATTGGATTGTACCAATGACACTTTCAAAGTATGGTGCAAAGAGAGTAGGAAAAAAATGAAAACAAAGATTCTTAGTTTGAAGTGGATGAATAATATCACATCAAACATAAATAATTCTGTGCCGAAATCAGTGTTGAATAAAGACAAAATGTAACTCAAGTATGATTTTATCAACACGTTGATTCTCAAATTTTCCAATTTGTTTATTCAGTAAATAAATATGTTCTTTAATACCCATCAATTATTGTGTTTTTTTTTTTTTTTTTTTTTTTTTTTTTTTTTCATATCATCAACACTTCAAAATTGGGCATATGGCATTGATGTAGTCAAAATGCTTATCCAAAATATTATGTGATTGGGCACGGAAGGATATTTCACTTAATGCATAGTAACAAAATAAAAATAAAAATCATTTGTAGGATGTAAAGAGTTTTGACTGCACCTTCTGTTCCTCACAGCAATTTTTGTTTACAGCCTCAACATAAACATCACAGATCAAAAAAAGATCCAAAAAAATTGTCCAGGGTCTTAGCTGTTGTGTCTAGAAGTTGGCTTAATCTGAAATTTAAACCATAATATATAACATCAATATATGTTATATAAATTATAATTTTTCCATGATGAAATTTTTCTCTTAAAAGAAGTAATGAGGTAATTATTGCAGGTTGATTTTCAAATATCCTCTAAATAAAATGAGGACTTCAAAGAAACTGATATGTTGCTTTTTTCTAGCTCTGGCATGATATAACAACAACCTCTTATGGAAAATATCATTAGTCCAGCGGTTCTCAACCTGTGGGTCACAACCCGTTTGACTGTCGAACGACCCTTTCAAAGGGGTCGCCTAAGGCGATCAGAAAACACATATACTCTTCTGTTATGAAGTAGCAACAAAATTATTTTATGGTTAGGGGATCACCACAACATGAGGAACTGTATTTAAGGGTCGTGGCATTAGCAAGGCTGAGAACCACTGCTTTAGTCACTAACAAAATTATTTTAATTACGATTTCAGGACTGGAAGGACCCTAAAACAAACCCTTCAGTCCTTAAAAAGAATGTGAGCTACAATTAACATGGTTCTGTAAGTGAACAGAAGGATTTGTTTGAGATTGGCAGCTGAGCCGTTGAAGGTGAGAGGATTTATCCCGAAGTTACGTTAAAGGTGAGGGGATTTATCCAGAAGTTACATCTGTTCAGATACAAAAAAGCAACTAACAGTGAGTTAATTGGTGGCGTCATAAAAATCATGATTTTAGGTTCACTTGGCACAAGATAAAAGAGAAATGTTCATGTGAGAATCAAGGGAAATTTTATCTCAAAGGGAATTAGTTTGCAAGGAAAATTAGCTATAAATCTAAAGGTCAATTAATTCTCTAAGCATGCAGACCGAATTTGAATTGTCTAAAATTTATAAGAAATAATATTTGGAAACTTGCCAGAGTCATCATCCAGCACATTAATGTCATCCTCCATGTCCTCCTCTCCTCCTTCTTCACAAAACTGAGTGATGGCCTCATGAGTCGTCTGCAAGTCATCAGGATAGTCTTGCTGTAACTCACGTCCAGGGACATAATAACGACCATTGAAACTTTCAAACAGGCTACCGACCTTTGGGTGAAAACATAGGCCATCCAATAATGCAGTAACAGTTAATGCAAACTAATGCATAGAAGAGTTCATGAATTTATTTTAGGAATCAATTATTTAAAAATAAATATATAATCAAGGCAACAGGAAATAATATTGAGGTTAATTTTAATTAATCAAGACTTAGTGAATAAATTGTAATGAAGTTGTTTGGTTCCTTTCATCTAAATAAATAGTGTAGGCCACTAAGCACAAATTTGATGTACAATTTATATTGATATGATTACGAAAAACTTAACAATAAAAGCAAGGTCAATTAAAAAATCAAAACAAACCAAGATGAATGTTGATGCCAAGGCAACAAAGCTATCAGTCAGTAATGTATTCATTAACCATCTATGAATATTTATATATCAATATCTATAACTTAAGACTTTAAAATAATTTTTTTTTTTTATAAATAACAGAAAAAGCACTTTTGATTAAACTTTTTACAAATTTTTTTTTTTTTTAAATTTAAACAAAAATGCTCACGTTAAATTTCTATCACAAACAGTTCACAGGGGCAAAACCATGCCTTCAGTATCCCATTTCTATCCTTATATTTTCAAACCTATTAATCAGGTGCTCACCTCTGGATGCTTGATCATCCTCGGCTTCCGGGCAAAAATCAAATTCTCCTCAGCAGCATATCTGTCACTCCCATCCATGACCCAGACATTGTAGAATGGCTGGTGGCGACCTCGCTCACACTGGTCCACCCCCATTTGGTTGATCCAGTGTTCACTGGCCTTGCATGTGCTGTCCCAGCCACGTATGACACACATGTAGTTGAACAGTCTGTGTTTCATAACCATTCCAATTGAAAATACAACCTAAAGACCAAAGGAGTCAAAGAGGCCAAAGTTAATATTTAAATGTACAAACATTTTTATGTGACTGTGTTTCTACAAAATTTGTACTTTAGATTTGTTTGAATGCAATAAATTATAAAAAAATTAGTTTCAAAGGCTTTTGAGATTTGAAACAAAAAAAGCATAAGCTAACCTGAGGGTTATCTGCCCTTCTTTTTGGTGGGTCTCTTTTTGGAGTGTGACCTTTGGATATCTGCTTGAGGACCTTTTCGCATTCATCCTTAGATTGTAGAGATTCAAACATTTATTTAGTAATGATGTTAAAATATATTCACATGCAAATATGGATACCACCTGCTCTATTTAGGTCTAGGAGCTGTTTTATAAATATTGTTTGAATAAAATATACTTCAAAATGTTTGAAAAGTAAGAAGATTTTATTTCTTATCCAGGTCTAATAGATACTTACGCCACAAAAACACTTGCAACAGCATTTTTATATATAAATATTTAACCACAAAAATTTTTTCCTCTAATCCTCACCAAAAACTGGCAAGGACTTTAAACTTTTCTATTTTATACTAATTCTTTAAAATGTACACTAGTTAAGAGAGTAAATAGTTTATTTCAAATGTATCCTTTTTTTATATCTATTTATTTATTTATTTGTATTTAACCTAACTTTACAAGTAAGTATTAGCATTAAAAATGAAAGGTGGATTGGTTACCTGCAAATGAATGAGCAGATCTCTCAAATCAGGCCGCTCAGCCATTATCTCTTGAATCTTGCTAATAGCACTTGGGAGGTTAATCATGTGGTGTAGTGTAATTTTCACTGACAAAACTTGCTTCTCTACATCATCTGGAATGAGTAAATTATACAACTCGACAGCATGATGCAGAAGATTGAGACCTTGCTTATATTGTCCTTCCTTGCCTAGTGAGATGAGATTTCTCAACATCCTCTGCAGAACTTGAATGTTTGTGCAGCTGTCGCAGTGCTCAGGCCCAACCATGGCTGACTGCATCGATAGGCCTTTAATGAGGGTCTCAAAGTTCAAATTATAGCTACCGTTGAATGCATCAATGAATCTGTACTGCTCAATGCCCTGTTTTAAAGGGAACTCTTTCCACCGAAGGATAAAATGCTGGGGGAAATTTACTGGTTCGAGGGCAACCCCAAGACGTCTAGCCACGCACATGACCACAAGGCACAAAGTAATAGGGATGCCTTGCCTTCTCTCAAGGACCAAATTTATATAAGAGTTATCTGGCTTAAAGTACTTTTTAAAAGAGTTATTGAACAGTGGCTTAAAAACGCTCTCGATGGCCTGGATGACTTGTTTACATTCAACTGTTGTCCATGACAATTCTTTCACGTCTTCAGAAGTAAATAAGGCACCGTTATTCAAAACAGGATGTTTTGGCGAAGTTGTATTCAGAGATTCTTTTACCAAGTTTGCAAGAGAGTCAAGCTCCTGTTGAATTTTTGACAATGTCACAATTTTCATAGGTTGAAACCACTGAGCTATGTAAGTAGCACCTTGCTCTAGGCTTAGGTTGTCATCAGCTGCCTCTGCAATCCATTTTTGTATTAAAACTATTAACTCTTGCTGGCGAAGGTAAACAAGGGATTTCTGAGCAAAATACTTTACAGTTAGGTCCCGTGTTTCTTCACCTCTTGAAAGCACTCTCAATAACTCATCGATGACGAATTCAAGTTTCAGGTCATCGTCAATGTTGGGAGGCAAAATACTGCAAAAGTTATAGAACTGGCCTTCGTTTAAGCATTTCAGATATTCCGCAAAACCAACGTGGCTTTCGTGTGCCATCTCAAGTAGTCTGGTGTTCACATATTTTTTAACAAGCACTCTCTGGGAATACAATAGGTACCAAGTTGTTGATGTGCCCTTTGGCAACAGCTTTGGAAAGAGCATTGGCCATCTGTAAAAAAAGAAATTAAAATTTTTAAGTAAAAAAAATGAAGTGATGGATGGTCTATTTCAAAGCATGAGGCCTACCCAATGCTAGGGACCTATTGTTAGTATACAAATTATTTAATAAATTACAAACATTTTTCCTGGTTCATAGTATAGGAGCAACTCGTTTTGACTTTTTTTCCTTCAATTTTTTAACTTGAACTTACAGAGTTATCTAATTAGGCCCTTCATTTTCTTTACGCTGATAAAAATTATAAATTATCTAAAAAATGGGAGAATTTTCATAAATGATATTTATTTATTTATTTATTTATTTATTTAGGCATTTTTATATAGCGCTTATCATAAAGCTCTAAGCGCTTTACAATTATTAAAACATGTAAACTAAGTAAATACAAATGAGACACTAGGATAGTAACTACTATTCTATAGAAACAATGAAAATGGCTATAAAACGAGGACATTTTGACACTTCAGGATCAACCCGAAACAGAAAATGAGGTAGGGCAAGGAGGGTGCATCACAGGTCATAGGCGGACCTAAACAGATGAGTTTTAAGGGACTTTTTGAAAATGGACGAGGTTCATTATTTCATAAATTCCCATTAGAACTGATACTATTTTTTCTTGTTCTCTGTCCTGTGGTTGTGCTTCCTACTATACTATACAGACCCCAAGCCTAAGACTTAATTAAATACTTAAAATAGCTTTACTTAATAACTAAAACCTGTGTTATCCCGTAGTGGTTGTCCTCGAATCTTATACACTGCCGGTGTGCACAACAAGAAAATAGAAAACGTTCAATTTTCTTGTTTCTAAACCCACTTCAAGAAGACAAGAGTGTTTTGAGTATAAAAATACCCCCACGCTGTACACATCTAGAAGACCCTGGGATACTGATGCTATTTGATGGATTAATCTTTTAATTTTTTTTTTTGGCTCTACAAGATCAAAGCTAAACTGTAAACCCCCAAGTCCATTTATTAATAATTGTATGGCGGGCGCGGAAAGGGGAATACCATATAACACGCAAGGCCCTACATCAAAGTTGATATCTTTTATTTTCAAAACAACAGAAATACGGCTACACCTTGGAGATGACAAACCTGCGTCAAATATGATTTTAATGAACTGCCATTGAAGTTTTTTAATTTGAAACAGCCCCATCCTTAACAACAAAAAAGCCCAATAATTAATAACAAAGGCTGGCACTAAAAATGATGATCGCAATAGTTAGTAGAGTTGTATTGAATATGAGCTGATCATGTATTAAAAAATATGTTACCATAAAAATATAACAGATGACATTTAAATTAAAATCAAATAAAAAGTAAAAAGTATAAGATAATAACAATAAATGTGGCCACAAATGTGGCCACGGCCACTGGTGCAGGGATCAGTGGGAAAACTTGACCGGCCAGCGATACACCCCACAGGCGAAACTTTAAAATAAAAGAGTGAAATGCACTGGGCTAATAATACTATATTTCATACTGCTCAGTAAAATACTACTACCAATGTCAGTCAGTAAACCCTTATTTTAGAGCAACAGATTAATTTTAATGCAATAAATTAAAAACTGCCTATTTACCTGATGAAATTACATTAGAACACTTCAATGGTTATTATAAAATGTATCTATTGTTTTCCCATTAGTTTGCCATATATTTTCTTTGATTTTAAAGTGATTTTAAATATTAAGTATGGATTTAAATGTCAGTCAATTGATAATTTTGTTTATTGTCTGTTCAGCCAATGTGTGGACAGATTTTTTCCCCTTTTCCCAGTCTCAGGCCAAAGGCAATATTCATACTGTAGAGGAAAGATTTTTTTAAAAATAGACAATTAAGTCAGACTTAGAGGCCTCAGCTTACAGTGGGAGCAATACTGTGAAGTATTAACTGATGGTTGAACCTCAGCACTTCCCACTAAAAAGACTTGCATAGATTCTTGTACTAGGAACAAAGTAAGTTTGTTTTTTAAAAATGGTTTTATAAGGATATACCTCCAGTGTTTCTTCTCTTTTCTAATGTATTTCCAACTTTGTATATTTATTTATAGTTTTCGGGATATACGGAAGCCTTGGAGGAGTGAAAATTAGAAATTGATCTCTGACCATTGCAGCAAACAATTCCCAGACAACTGAACGCAGGACAAGTGAACCAATGACAACTGACCACAAGACATCCAAAACATTTGACATGTGAGCCTACTGACGAGTGAACCCACAGACAAGTGACCACACAGACAAGTGACCACATGTACAAGCAAGCACAAAAACAACTGAACCTACGGACAAATTTGCTGTATGGCTAAGTCCCATGACCAAGTCCAAATTCAAGTCTACCTATTTTGGGTGAACACCTGCAGCTGGCAATAAGCTTTAAAAACTACCAGTAAGCATACCTGTTAAGTACCATTATTGATTTGAAGATCTGTGCTAACATATATAGGGATCAATGTTCCCTCTAAGGCTTGCTGGTTCGTGTGCAAAATCATACAGTTGGGTGCAAAATTTTACAGCCCACAAACACAAACACACAATTACATGGAAATTTGCTGCGCGGATACTCAAAACTGCTGCACGGCGTCTGTGAGTTAGCTGTGTGGCCACGCAGCTGCGCAGCTTAAAGGGAACATTGATAGGGATTAAATCAGAATGATCTAGTAAAGAAATTCTATACATTGCGTCAACTGATGGAATTCTTTAGAAGAAATAGAAAGCATTATAAAATAAACAACATTTCTCCAATCAAGGGAGGGGTGGGTAAGGATAGACACAACACATAGACTCATTCTCACCCTCCTCTAACTGATAATCAACGCTACATGCTGCTAGGTGCTGTCCATGACTAAACAGGAGTAGATAGAACTTTGGTAGGAGAGGTCAAGCTTTTTACCTATTGTTATTTTTAAATGTATAATTTTCTGTAATTGCTAATTTTTATGCCTTAGGCTGGGGTACTGCGCTATATAAAACCACTCAATAATAATAATAATAATAATAATAATTTACATGGTGATGTTAATATCAAGGTCATACTAGGGGGAGCCAAGTGGTGGTGGCTAAAAATAGCTCGACCTTGAAGTGAAAAATAGGCCAAAACATAGACTATACTATTACAGCACCAGACCCGAAACTGTTACCTGGAGAATAGCGTCTGGCTCATCATCCTTTTTTATAATTTTTCTGGCACAAGAAATAGGTCATCACCCTTGCCCCCTCGCCCCTAATGTGATCGGCTGAAAATTCGGAAAAGTCACAACTCGTTTCAACTCGTGACAGCCTGAATTTGGGGGCATTCCAGAGCATCCTGAACCAAAAAGTCTGGAAAAACAGGAAAACCAGAAATTTCAGGAAAAAAGTTGTCAAACCAGTTTCCATCTCTCAGAGTGGATCAGAAAATGCAAACAAATATAATAATTTTTTTTCTGTTGATCGGTAAACTCCCAAGCAAACCAGTTAAACTTTTCGGAATCTGAAGCTGGATTGTAATCCTATATCTTTGGAAACCCCAGGGTGCCAAATTTAGTTGCTGTGCTCTTTATGGTTGGGGCAAACCTCGTGGTTAGTTAATTCAATGAGCCAATTTTGTTTGTTTTCCTCAGTTGTTCCTGTTTTCAGTTGTCTGTGTTCACTTTTCTGTTTTTTCACTTTTTCATTGGTTCATTTGTCCTGTGTTCGGTTGTCTAATGGTCAGTGATGGTGCTTTTTGCTTGTCCTGCATTCAGTTGTCCGGGCATAGCAGCAAACACACACCACCAAGGTTATGCAACATTAATGTAGGCACTTTTATGAAAATTTCAAAACATTTTTAAAAATATAAAAATACTACAGCTTTATAGAGCCTGGAGAATAGATTACAAAAACACCAAGATCAACTTTCTAACTAAAGTGGTTCAAAAGTTATGAATTTTTTAGTAGCGACCTCAAAGGCACTTTTTTACTATGGGATTTTCCTCCACATTTTGTGACCCTCAATTTGCTTTTTTTTTAACGCCTATAACTTTATTATAAATTGAGACAAAAATATAATATTTACAGGGACCATAGTTAAATAAGAGTACTTCTAAATAAAGCCACAAAATATAAGTTAGTTTTAGTTAATATTACGCAAAACTTTTTTTAAAATCTTGATTTTTTAAATATATAAATATGCTGACTCGTCACTTATTTGAAATTAATTAATTAATTTTGTTTAAATATTTTTTTTTTAATTTCCAAAAAATCATAATAATAATATTATTCTTTAGATATTAATTTCAAATTTTCTGTGGAAATGTTTAACATTTATAAGTATGAACTAATAATAAAGGGATTATTTGTTTCAATAAGTTAAAATTGACAATTACACTTTTTATTTTACCATTTTCTATATACGTATTTTAGTCCCATATCATACGATTGTCTGAATATGACAAAAAAATGGAATGTCATTTTTTTCAAGTTAGTAATCTTGTTTCACAAATTAACATGCATTGATATAATCAACATTGGTGGTTGATACAAACTAAAATAAGTTCTAGTCATTTGGTTGAGGTAAGTATGATTTTTTATGATTGTTCTTTGGTAATATCTTAAGTAATTCTTGGATTATTGTGGCAGAAAGTGTGTTTTTTCTTTAAGAATACCAAGGATTATGTAATAATTCTCTTGTGAAATATTGTGATATGTGATTGAATATAGGATATTTCAATATTAAAGGTAAATGACTATTATTTTTTAAAACATTTTTACTTAATCTATGCCTTAAAAATCACCATAATATATCATTACATATGAATAACGGGTCTTACAAATAATTATTGGAGGGTGGGGGAGGGGGGGTGTAGGCCTACACTTATAATAGTAATACTATTCTAGGCCTCAATACATAAATTACAAACATATATATTATATATATATATATATGTGTATATATATATAATAACGTATTATACCAGTATATAAAACTAATAATTAACTATTAATTGTAATAATGAGGCTTATTTAACCTAATATCCCTT